ACATTTCCCCCTATGGTCTTAATGGCTGCATAAGCATGTGAGCATGGAATCCCTGACATTTGCCAAGCTCCACAATTGCATTGGTGTAGGCCAAGATCCACTCTTTGGTCTCCACATGATGTGTACACACATATTCTTCCTCCTCCATAATTCTCATAGTGCATATACCTGCTAAAATGCACATGCTCCAACACTTTTGCCTTTATTTTTGGCCCAACGTAATTTTTCTACTTAGTCATTGCCACATATGATGCATGCATCTTCCTTGCTACTTTCTCCCGATGCTCATAGATCATTTGGGCCACGTTATGCTTCCTCTCCCTTACCATCCAAGCATTAAAAGATTTAACTAAATTAGTTGTTATGTTGTCCCACCTTCAACATGGGAACTTGCTCAATGCCCACCTATCCACATCACCTTACTTGATAACCCACTCATATAACTCATGAGATATGGTTTTGAGATCATCCAAGGTGTGATCAAACTCATCCGTAAGTCTACATAAGCCACTTTATCCAGTACCTTCAATGTATCTTCCTTTGAATTTTTAGTTCTTCTTGTCCGACCTCTGTTTAATTTCATATACTTAGAACTAAAGTTTTCCTTCACATACCTATAACAGTATGCATACCTTTCACACTCAAATATTGCTTGCACAGATCCAATTATGAAATTATATCTATCTGACATAGTAGTCAATTGCATTGAACCAACTATTTTGTTTAATCTTGTGAAAAAACCACGTCTAGTCCTCGAGATTCTCTCCCTTCACCACTACTATTGCAAACAACAATATCTCATTATCCGCATCATATGTCGAAACTGACAATAACATCCCCTTATATGGACCACTTACATGAGTACCATCAACGTATAAAATAGGCCTTGTATAGTTCAAAAAACCCTCAACACATGCACCGTATGCAATGAATACACGCTCAAATTTATTACCAATAGAGGCCTATTCAGCAATCATTTTGTCACCAGTTTTCTTCAATCTTTCACATAACCATGGTATTAACATATAGGATTGTTCCGGTTTTCTATGTATTTCTTCCATTGCCTTTTCCTTTGCTTTATAGGCCTGACAATAGGCAAGCCTCATACCATACTCCCTCTCTAACATCTTCCTTATCTCAGTAGGTCGTTTTAGCATGGTCCCTTATCTCTTCAACTATTATTGATGATGTCAACGCACCACTCCCACCATAAGTCACAACCATATTGTCTTGCACTGAATGAATGTACTCATTGCAAAATATTATCACACGTAATAGATGACTGTTCTTCCCAACAACATTTACTCATATCTTCCAAGAACACCTTTCTACTTTACACCTCACATTCATCTTCTCCTTACTATCCCTGACATATCTTGCTGCAAACTTCTCTACAATACTGAACCTGTACACAGCTTCCCTAAAGGCAACAGTATGTGGAACATATTGGCCCACTCCTACAAACACTCCTGCCCATTTCATACAATTCATCTTGCCCATCAATGTTCCCTAACTCTTTAAATCACTACACTTGCTTCTCTAACTTGATCCACCCTCTTTAAAAGTCAGGCATTCAACTCCATTCTCAACATTCACCGGCTCATGTTTATCACCAATAGTCGTTTCAAATGCATTCATGTCTTGTGAAAGTTCCAATAAATTCTCAATCCTGCCACCATAATACCAAGTTAGAATGCCTATATTTAAATGACAGGTTTGATTATCACAACAACAACAATGTTAATGAATATGACAACTTTAGTTACGAATATAACTCATCTGCGTATAATAATTACAATATTAGTAAGTGAAATGACAGGTCTGGATATAGAAACTCCTCTTTTATAAAATAATATGTTTGCATATCTAAATAACAAGTCCGCATATAGTTATTACAACTTTAGTAACTAAAATAACAAGTCTACATCTATAAACTATTAGTTAGTAAAATAACATGTCTGCATAGCTAAATAACAGGTCCACATGTGGTAATTACAACTTGAGTTACCCACATAACAAGTCTCTATATAAAAACTACTGGTTAGTAAAAAAACTTCTGCAGATCTAAATAACAAGTTCGTATATGATTATTATAACTTTAGTACACAAAATAACAAGTCTACATGTGGAAACCACTACTTATGTCTAATAACAAGTCTACATTTCTAAAAGACAAGTTTACAAATAGAAATGGCGTGTCAACTATATTCAATAACAAGTTTGCATTTACAAATTACAACTTAGGACTGCAACATTGTTAGCTTGATTACAACATTTCTATACAAATTAGCAATAATATATTAGCAAATAACAAGATTTAATTCAAAAACACAATCACTTACATGTCTGGATCATTCCTTGCTCTAGGTTCCCTATCTCCCTTTCCTTTCAATGTACACATGAGCACTACTGTCATTATATCTAAACAAGTTGCAGATATCACCATCATCACAAAGATCAATCAATGTACTCTCATCAAATTTAACTTTATACTTAATCTCATATCACTACCATCATTGCCTATCCACTATGATATTATTCCACACAACTCATATACTATTATCCATTCTTTTATACCTGTTACCGTTATACTCGCTCCAATATATTTAACTACCCATTCACAATTTGCTTCAAAATATCCAGTAATGTGCATGTAACAGAACAACACCTTCCCACATCTTCTTCCATTATTGAAATTCATTTTTCACACTAACCTGCAACAAAAATTTACGTTTAGTTAGTACATCAGCTTCACTAATAAATATTTACACATTTATTCCATCAACTCAATCATTTACATACCAAAATAAAAACCACCGACCTCCTCTCTTCCCAACATCACTTTAGGGCTTCACAATTTCAACGCCAAAAGTCACGGCATCCTTATTCCCTCCTTTCACAACAACACCTGAACCTTCACACCCAAACTAATGGCCATTATCCCACCCACACTCTGCCAAACCACTACACACCTAACCCTTCACCATCGCCACCATCACCATGCACTACAAATAAGAGATGACCAATCACACTAGAAAAATAAAAATATCCCACCTCCAACTAACCACAACCTCCTACATTGTGATATCTTTAATCTTCAACTACACCTCTCATTCCCTCCTTTCCTCCAACCTACCCACCCACACAATAAAGATGAAGATGAAGAATATCACAATGCACAACTTTTAGAGGGAAAAATAGAAGAAGAGTCTAGTCAGTATGTTACTTACTTCATTGCTAATGTTGAAAGACCTTCCATCCCAATATCACACAAACATTTAGTGTCTTCCTTCTTTTTCCAACTCTCCTGCCACATTATATTTCTTGTCTCTACATTCATTAAAGAATCAGGATGGCTGAGGGAATTTCAGACATTTAACCCACATTTCATATTTGCAATTTGAGATCGGGTCCTCTGAAGCTATTTTCCAAATTCAGAGTCTCTAATCATAATTTTATATATTGGGGTCTTTATTTGCAATTTCTCCTTTTTAATATATATAAATGAAGGTGCTTTTTACCTGCTTATGGCTAGAAGCTACTATAAAGACTTTTGTGCAGAAAAACCAAGCAAGAGAGGATATCTCGCCAAACTGTGGTTGTAGCTTGCACTAAGAGACACTCTTGGCAACCCGCTTTCTCAACGTCCTTAGAGTCCAAATTGTAGCCGTTGAGATTAATCTGAGAGATGATAATTTGTCACACTATTAGCCTATTAAAAACTAAAAATAACCTTTTTTTTTTGTGTAAACTCAGAGTTTTCATAGGTCATTTTGGATTTGAGATTAATTTTTATCAGACTTTCACTGTTAAAGTTAAAATACTCCTAACAAGTGCACTTCTTGTCATTTAAACTTATATTTTCTTTTTTATAAGACTTATATCATTTATCATTTCAACTAACAGCTTGTTTATTAGTATTAAAAATAAATTTCAAGCCTCGTGTGACATTTTTTTCCAACCATGATTTTTTTTAAAATATTTTTTTGGCATGATATATCCAATTATTTGCACCTACCTAATTTCAACAAGGAAATTTATGAGATATCCAAACTAATTCAAATAATCATGAAAGGTGAAAAAACTCCACCGCCAAATATTTATATACAATTTTCTAGATCTATTCACCTTTAACGGGAAGATTTATGTCAATCCAGCCTAATATAGATTGAGTTAGATAGGATCACAAATGGTGATAAAACTATACTAAGTATCTCAATTTTTTATTTTTTAATTAAAATACTTAATGGTAGAACTGCTATTTTGCTCATGATTTATTAAATTTGATGCAATCTTACTTTTTTTTTTTTGGTTTTATGATGTGATTGGAATTTGTTTACTTTGCATGAAAATTGTTAATAATTTAATATAAAAGGAAGCAAAATTGTTAATTTTAATTGTTAAGATAAATAAAAAGGGGGAGATATTAAATAAATTAAAAAAAGCAAAATTGAATCACATTTAAAAAAACATGGATAAAATCGTACTATTAAAAAGATTACAATGGTATTGAGCTTACACGAAAATAAGATTGGGATACCAGGTGTTATTTTATTTTATTTTAAATGCTTTCTTTCTTTCTGCCTTAAAAAAAGTGCTTTCTTTCTTGTACTCTATGGCACGCTAAAAATTTTAAAATATCCAAGAAAATGAAAAATATGTAAGCTGTAGTACCAATGCCATAAAATATAAATCCCAAGTTAAAAATTAAAAATTAAAAATAGTATTGTAGCTGCCGAAGAGATGATAATGTGTCACGCCGTTAGCTTATTAAAAATTAAAAAGAACTATTTATGTGAAAACTCAGAGTTTTCTTAAGTCATTTTATATTTGAGACTAATTTTCGTCAAACTTTGAATGTTAAGATTAAAATCCTCCCAATAAGTGTGCTTCTTAGGATTCAAACTTATGTTCTTTTATATATATATATATATATATAAATAATATCGCTTACCATTTCAACTAACAGTTTGTTTGTTGGTATTAAAAATAAATTTTAATCCTCGCGTAAAAGTTTTTTCCAAGCATGATTTTTTTAAAGATTTTTTTAACATGAAATATCCAATTATTTGTACCTACATCATTTCAACTAGGAAATTTATGAGAGATCCAAACTAATTCACATAACCATGAAAGATGAAAAAACACCACCACCATATATTTATATACAATTTTATAGATCTATTCAACTTCAACGGGAAGATTTATCTCAATCCAGTTTGATATAGATCAAGTTAAATAGGATCATAAATGGCGACAAGACTATACTAAGTATCTTAATTTTTTAATTTTGAATTAAAATACTTAATGGTAGAACTTTGCCTCCTTTTGTAGTCCATTTGAATCAGTTGCGTCTAATAAATTCTACTGTCAAAATGAGTAGGTCCAAAAAATTAGGTGTTCCACCCAAAATTTCTTTAAAAGAGAGTTTAGTTGAAACAGCATGATGATGTGGCGGATTATGAGCTCTTGGATTAATTTAGATGGACCATATTGGATGCAGAGGGACGAGGTCGCTGAGAGGATCTGCACTCTATTCCTTCCCGGGCTTCGTTACTTTTGTGTTTCTAATATTTGTGCCGAGTACGCATGACTTTTAATGCTGTATTATAATTTATAATCATTTAAATTTAAAAAATTAATTAAATTAGTTATTTATAATATATATGTGTTGTTTTTTGTAAATTAACATATTTAATCACATGTATTGACATTACCTATTAACAATGAGAATATTTTGGAGAAAAATTATTAAGTTGGGAAATATTTTAGAGAAAAATATATATGAGTTGATCTTGATTTTAAATATAAGACATATTTCTCATATTTATTAATTTTTTTAAATTATCAGCACTGTATCCATTTAGCATATAACGAGAATAACCCAGCACAGTGGCGTGTGCCTTTGCCTTGCATTTTACCCTAATTTCTATCTTCTCTTTTTTTATTTTTGACCAGCAATTTCTGTCTTCTCGTACACAGTTAAAAAAAAGGGTTGCATTCACTCAAAAAAAAAAAAAAAAAGAGAATTGCATCCGCAAAGAATAATTGCACGAGGTCCTTCTAACAAAAAAACAAACAAGAAGAAGGGAAATGGGCAAACATGGACTTGTCCTAATTTTCCGTCAAAAGGTAAAAAATTTTCTATTTATATTTGTTAATGCGTTTTGGTTTTAGTTACAATACTTTTAATGAGTTTTAATTTTAGTCTTTATAAGTTTTGATTTTAGTTACTATAATTTTAATAAGTTTTGATTATAGTCCTTATAAGTTTTGGTTTATGTTCCTATACTTAATAATATTAACTTTTAGTTAACGTTGTTATACATAGACCAAGCTTTTATGAAATTGTAGGACTAAAATTAATAAGGACAATAAACCACAATTTGAAATTACAAAGAAAAAAAATAAAATTAATTGAAAACGTAAGGATTAATGATGATATATTATCCTACATTTAAAAATGTCAGACTGCATTTTATTTTTAAAAAAGTTAAAGGCACCCAACACTCCGATTTTTTTTTGGTGTATTAGCACCTTTTTTTTTATATATATATAAATTAGGGTTAAAAAAATTTAGTTTGATGTATCAACATCTTCATCCTCGGCATTTACTGCAGTTTTGCTCATGATCTATTAAATTTGAAGCAATCTTACGTATTTTTTTGTTTTATGATGTGATTGGAATTTGTTTACTTTGCATGAAAATTGTTAATAATTTAATATAAAAGGAAGCAAAATGGTTAATTTTACTTGTTAAGATAAAAAAAAAAACGGGGGAGATATTCAATGAACTTAAAAAAGCAAAATTGAATCAAATTTTACAAAAATATGGATAAAATCGTACAATTAAAAAGATTATAGTTGTATTGACTATTGAGCTTACATGGACATAAGATTGGGATACTAGGTGTTATTTTATTTTAAATGCTTTCTTTCTTTCTGCCTTAAAAAAAGTGCTTTCTTTCTTGTACTCTGGCAGGCTAAAAATTTTAAAATATCCAAGAAAATGAAAAATAGGTAAGCTGTAGTACCAATGCTACAGAACAAAAATCCCAAGTTAAGAATTAAAAATTAAAAATAGTGTTGTGGCCGCTGAAGAGATGGTAATGGGTCACACTATTAGCTTATTAAAAACTAAAAATAACTTTTTCTGTGTAAACTCAGTTTTTTCAAGGATTTGAGACTAATTTTTGTCACACATTGAATGTTAAAGTTAAAATTCTCCTAACAAGTATACTTCTTAGAATTTGAACTTATATTCTTTTTCTTTTTTTACAAAAATGATATCATTTACTATTTCAACTAACAGTTATTAAAAATAAATTTCAATCCTCGTGTAAAAGTTTGTTTTCCAACCTTTCTTTTTTGAAAGATTGTTTTAGCATGAAATATCCAATTATTTGTACATACATTATTTCAACTAGAAAATTTATTAGAGATTGAAAATAATTCACATAACCATGAAAGATGAAAAAAACACCACCACCAAATATTTATATACAATTTTATAAATCTATTCAACTTCAACGGGAAATTTATCTCAATCCAATCTGAGATACATAGAGTTGGATAGGATCATAAATGCCGACAAGACTATAACAAGTATCTCAATTTTTAAATTTTGAATTAAAATACTTAATGGTTGAACTTTACCTTCTTTTGTTGTCTATTTGAATTAATTGCCTCCAATAAATTCTACTATCAAAAACAGTAGGTCCAAAATATTAGGTGTGCCGAGTACCTGCCACCCATGACTTCTCTTGCTTAGAAGATCTTTTCTATTTCTCGCTTACCTATTAATGCTGTATTGTAATTTATAATCATTTTATACTAACTCTGCTTTTTAATATAAAAATTAAATAATTAGTTAAATTAATTATTTATAATATATATAGTGTTTTTTTAAATTAATATATTTAATCATGTATATTGACATTACCTATTAACAATAGGAATATTTTAGAGAAAAATCATTAAGTTAGAAAGCAAAGTAAATTAGGGTCTTGTGTTAAATCTAATTCTCCAACTATTCATCTTTAGCATAGGATCTAATTATTTAGTTGATTTTAGTTCTAAATGTGAGGTTTATTTTTCATATTTATCAATTTTTTAAAATTGTTTCTATGAATATTTTTTCAATCATAATTAAATAGGAGAAGGAGGGAGATATTAAAGAAGATGATTATGGTGTTTTAGAAAAAATATATCATATTTTTAGGGATAATCCTAATTAAATCCAGTTAAAACACTAAAATTCAAAATTAGGTCTTCACTTTGTGCAAATTCCTAATGAGGCAAAGAGGCCTAATTAGGGATTTATGGATGTTGTTTAAAGTCTAAAATGCCCCTCTATAATTAAAATGAGTTTTAGTTCTATATTTTTCTCCTCCACAGGTCGTTTTCCTAAAATAAGAAAGTTCTCAATCCATAATAGATGACATAAAATTATAACACTGTTCTCAATTCACATTAATAATTATTCCAACACCCTAATCAACCTGTAAAAGGTGCCAGTCTGAATAAGGGGTCAAATGGTCCATAATCCTTAACGCAAGGGCTTTTCAAATAGTTTTCTATTTATTCATGACAATCGTATGCCTTTTCCTTTGACTATTTCAGAACAAATTAATTATACATTATGATCCTCCGTACACACTATTTTACCAATTTTCCAAGTGTACATGTGTGTGTATATTATTAAGTATATGGAGGATGGATCAATGTTAAAATTGAGCAAAAATCAAACCCACTGAAAATTAAAATCTAGCATTGACCAACACTGTTAGATTGATTAGAGTGCGGGAGTAATTATTAATATGAATCAATGATTGTGTTGTAATTTCCTATCATTTACTAAAGATTTACTGTTTTTGTATTTCAAGAAAAGAATTTGTGAGGTAGACAAAGAACTTATGAGAGAGAAAAATATAAAGTCAACCAAAAAAAGAGAAAAAAAAATAATCAAAAAATATAAAGGTAACAACTCATTTCAATTATAAAGGGGCGTTCTTGACTTTTAAGAACATTTCTAAATTCCTAATTAGGCCTTTAATCCTGATTAGGAATTTGTTTAAAATATAGGCCTGATTTTGAATTTTGGTATTTCAGCTAGATTTAAATGGGATTCTCCCTATTTTTTTATAATCAATTAACTTATTTAATTTTTTAATCTAAATAAATTAATTAAATAGCTTTTATATATATATATATATATATATTCAAAATAAGAAGATAAACACCATGTGGCTTTCCCTTACCCTGGGTGGAAAAGTTGGATCAGTTAATGCTACGAGTTGACCGCTGGTTCCGTTGACGTTATTTTGCCGATTATACTATGACACGTGATTAGATGTTATTGGAAAAAAATAACATCACCTTCGTTAATGAGCAAAAAAATCTTCCTGGTACTTTGGTTCGTACGCTTAGTTGGGTGTCTCTAATAGTCTAATTTTTATTTTTAGATGAAAATTGAAAAACAAACGTTTAAAAATTCAGAAAAGTAAAAAAAAAAGTTTCCACCACTAGGCTCTCAGTCTCTTTACGTAAGAATAATTAATTAGTTAATTTAGTTCAAAAAAATAATTAATCATGTTTCACTTTATCTTCAAAATATTTTTTTATGATTTCTTTAAAGTTTTAAAATTTAATTCATTTATTAAATTGCACTTCTTCATATTAAATTATTTTAAATTTATTATATTATGTAAGATTATTTTTTAATCATATTTCATTATTTATTAAAACTCATATCCATTTTGGTCATTTTACGACCAAACTTACTTTTACTCAACCATAATCAAAACAACTTTTTACTAATCTTATTTTTACAAATTAACTTTTCTAAACTCCAATCCAAACACAATTCAGCTTATCAAATTTAGTTTTTATCCAATTTCAGTTTTTTATAAGTTAAATTGGCAATAAATTATTTTTTAATAGCTAATTCAAACACACCCACATTCGGCAACGACCTGGCAAAACCATGAGTGCTGTGCTAGAATTATTGATGTCCTTGTGGTCCCCCCAGGACAGCCCTTTCTGAGGTTCTTGTAAGGTTCTTCATGTGCTGAGTCAAATCAATTATCGATGGAAAACTATAAAAGGAAATTGGGGACAAATCCCCATTTGAAATATTTGTTGGGAAATGATCCCTAGAAATCTATGAAGGATAAATGACCACAATACCCTTAATGAAGATAAATTGCACATGAAAATTTCAGTTTTCCTTGAATGAAGATGCTTTGCATTTAAGGAAGTTTAGTTGAACGTAACATATTTTGAATAGGATGAGATATACATTGTACACAAAGAAGTTTAGTTGCATTTAAAGGAAGATATTTTGCATGTATAGAAGTTTAGTTGCACAAAAAAAGTTAAGATATATTACTCGTAAGGGAACTTTAATTACACTAAAAGGAAGATGATTGGTACGTATGGAAGTTCAATTGCATAAGAGAATGGAATTTTAGTTGCACAACTTCTCTTGTGCACCGAAACTTCCATACGTGCAAAACATCTCCCATCACGTATAACTAAGTTTTTTTTGTATGGAATGTATCCTTGCTTGTGCTACTGAATGTTTATACGTACAAATCTTGTGCAACTAAACATCCATATGTGCAAAGCATCTTTTGTCAAATGCAAGTAAGTTTCTTTGATTGTTAGAGCCGAGAAAATAAGCTGAACCCGTCCGACCGGCCCATCTAAGCTCGAAAATTATCAGAGCCGGGCTTGAGAATTTTTCTCTCAAATAGAAAACAGGCCTTGACCCTGTAGGGTCAAGGACTTAAACAGGCTAGTCCTACAGGGCCAAAGGTCGGCTCTTTTAGGCCTTTTTATAATTTTTTTTTTTTTTTTAATTTTTATGTAATTCTAATATTATTAATTTTTTATATTGTTAATAATATTTCAAATATTTAGTTATTATTATCATTTTAAAATTAAATTTCATAGAATGGTTTGATTTATTTCGTTTTAGACAATGATTTATCCAATTAAATTTTTTATAAAATGGGTTAATTTGGACTTTAATAATGATTTGATTTATATTATAAGTGTTGATATTTTTAAACTATATATATTTAATAAGAGAGTATTTTTATATTTATATAACTTGTGATTCTATCATTTGAATTAGAAATTTATGAGTTTCAACAACGATGTTTCTCAAATTAAAATAAAATAATCGCTAGATTGCAAAATTTAAAAGTGAAGTTCTTATAAAGAAGAAAGACCTTATATTTTTGCTACGAAAGAAAATCATACTTATTCAGGAGAGTAATTGATACAGTGATGATAAAGTTTCAAAAGATTAATGACAATATTTATTTATTGCACATTTGCACTATAAATGAAACTTTTAGATGTTGTTATCTTGTTAATGAATGTTTTAGATATTTTTAAATGTTGATAAATATTTATATATGAAGATATTTTGTATTTGTGACTTAATTTTATTCATATTTATGTCTTTTATCAATAATTTTATTGATTTACTTTTATTTTCTTATAGAAAATGTGAGAAATATGAAAAATAATTCTTTTTTTTCCCCTTAAATAGGCCGAAAGCCTGTGAGGTTGCCCTGAGCCTGTTAACTTAAGGACCGAGCCTAGCAAATTGGGATATTTTTAAAATTTTGGCCTTGTAGGGCCGGCTGGCCCGTATTCCCACTTCTATGTGCAATGTATCTTTTCTTTTGTAACTGAATTTTTATACTCGCAAAGCATTTTTCATTTAGTGCAATTGAATTCCTTTTCATGTAATCTATCTCATATTCTATTCAAAATATGTTATGTGTAACTAAATTTCTATATGTGCAAAGCATCTTCTTTGAAGTGTAACTAAATTTCCTTACATGCAGCCTATCTTTTTATTCTGTTCAAAATATGTTATGTGGAAATAAACTTCCACACATGCAAACAATATTCCTTTAAGTGTAACTAAATCCCTTATGTGCAGTCTATATTTGCTAAGGACATTATGATCATTTCTTGAGCATATTTAATTGTCTTGAAGGACCTGAATCTTTCACCAAATTTCAGGGACCATTCCCCAATAAAGTTTCAAATGGGGATTTATCCCCGATTTTCCCAAAAACATTTCATCAGGGCATGCTCTTGCACAAGAGAAAAATTGGTTGGCAATGCACAAAACCAGATCAATCTAAAAAATGCTAAATCCTTTTTTCAATACTAAATAAGCATATTTTGGTCTATGGATAACTTTTTGTAATAAAAAAAATACAGCTGATCAATTGTTTTGAAATTTGATTTTTAATCTTGTGTTGTGCAAAAAAGATGAGTCTTAAAATTATTCTAATGTTTGCAATATTCTATAACAATGCTTTTGTAGTTTTTCCTGTGATAAAAATGCTACCAGTCTTTATAAAATTATAGGATGTTGTGTTGTTTGTGACAACTTATTATGAATAGGATAGTTTTTCTCATGTAAAGATTCCTCCACAGTTTAATTTATTTGAAAATTATACTATTTAAAGTAAATGAATTAATAAACGTAATCACACAACTGGAGTCAACCATGATTTGTCTTTTAAAAAAGCCTATTATTTATAGGGGTAAAAGACGCGTTTTTCAACGAGACATGATTTAAATGTTTTCTTTTTTGGCATAAATCATGATTTAGACGTTCAAACGCGCTTTAATGTTTCAACGCCATTTTTTTTAAAGGCCAAAAAATACACCATTTTTTTTTTTGCCCTTGAAAGACAGCTTACCTTCCAAATATTGTTTTTTAACTCCTGAATTTTTAATTTTGACCAACAATGTTGTAATTGTTTGTAACTTGAATCGTAAAAATATAAACAATTTGTATAATTTGAACAATGCACATGTGGTCAAATCTTTCTCTTTTTTTAACTTCTCAATGTATGAAATTTCTCATATTCTGGCTCTCTACAAGAGAAATTATTTAAAAAATTGCACTAGTCAGTAATAATCCATCACGTGCTAATTAAATTTGATCTTTTGCTCTTTGTTCTTTTCTTTGAATTTCCTTTTATAATATTACAACAAAGTTTAATAATAATAATAATAATATAATAATAATAATAATAAAATAATAATAATAATAATATACATACTGAGAAAATTATATTAAAAATTTGGTAGAGTTTCTTTCCCATTTTAACTTCTATGTAACCCATATTTTTTGCCAATCTATGAAACCCCTATTTAAATTAATTCTTGTTGACAGGTATTCTTGATGGTGAAATGTTGGTTTGGGGTAAATCCTAGAACCGTTTTGCTGAATTTGGTTCTAACCAGGAAATCGCAAAGGTGGCAACAGGTGGGCCTGATAGTGATAGACATTTATGTTGTGTCCTTGAACTAGATGGGCTCACAACCATGGAATTCAGCTTTTAAGGGCGCTTTTGTGGGTTGGGTCTCAGTGGAAGAATGGTTTTCTAATTTATTGATGATTAATCACTGAACAATTTTAAATAGTCAACATTATTTTCATGGTTATTTAACTTCGAATTTTCTATTCTCATTTCAACCAACAACAATTTTCTTTTGGGGAAAAAAAATCTATTCTCTGCGTGGTCAAAAGAATCAAGCCATCACCCCACCTACTACGTGACTATCTTAACATCATGATTTGCTTAATCGCTTTCCTTGACGGGTCATAAACTCCAAACCTTTGAAAATTCTATCATCTTTACAGGGCTAAATAAATCCCTCCTTAAACTCCCACAAATCTCACACAAACGGTCATGGTAATAAAAATCATGGCACACAAATCCTCGTTTTTTCTCTCATTCTTCTTCTTCCACTGTCTCTCCTTATTACTTATTGCAGCCCATGCAACCAGCTTCAGCTCAATAATACTAAATCCATCTCCAAGACGAATACTACAAGAAAACAGAGTTGTTCTCGCAGAACAAGACGCAGAGCCGCTTGATTATAGATATGCATGTTTGGACCGAAGTGGTATGGCTCCATCAAGCAAATACCAAAGCAATCTCAAGAATCTCATGTCTTCACTTTCTTCTGTTGCCTCAACCAGCAATGGATTTGGTAACAGAACTGCAGGTAGTAATGAAGATAAGGTGTATGGGCTTTATCTTTGTAGAGGGATGTGAATTCAAGTTTATGTCATTCTTGTGTTCAAGATTCTAGCAGATTGATCCAACAGCATTGTCCCAATAATGCTACTGCAGTTTTATGGTACCCATTTTGCCTTCTCAGGTATATCTTGTTAAATTTATATTTCTGTAAGCAACTTTGTACGGGTTACTTAAACAAAAAGTTGTCAATTAAAATTTATATCTGGAATACGGGTTAATACCCTTTTTAGCCTCTAAAGTTTGAAACTAGTGTTTTAGATGGACCAAAATAAGATCAAATTTCAAGGACTAAGATTATTGGTTTCAAGAACCAAAACCAAAATGAAGTCCAATTTTAGGGACTAAAGATGATATTAATTCTCTTGAATAAATAAGATAAGAATTCATCATCGTGATCAGACTACAATTATACCATTTGCATTGATTACATGAATTTATGCTACCGATTGGATTCATGAAAGAAATTCTGCTAGCATTAAATAGGTACTCAAACCAGGATTTCTTCGACAATCTAACGCTAAGGCCTCGGATTCCCATGTTTGATGCATCACAAAACTTCACGAGTGCAGGAGAGTTCGACAGTGACGCTACGATTCTGATGAACGGTTTGATACAGACAGGTTCAAAGACAAACCTGATGTTTGGGACACACGTCTTCAACATAAATGGCACCCAGAAAAGGTATGGTTGGGTTCAGTGCAGCAGAGACATAACCAGTGATGAGTGCAGAACATGTCTGAGCAATATGCTAGAAGATGTTGAGAATTGCTGTGAAGGCAAGAAGGTTTGGAGAATCTTTTCTCCTAGCTGTATTGTATGTATGAGACTCAGCCTTTCTTTGTAAATTATCCCGGGTTGATTGCTCCAGCGCCCCAGCCAGGTATCATTTTGCTTCTTTCATGATATGGTAGGTGCAATTTTGTGCATTTCATGGAACTCGGAAAATAAATAGTGCTATTCACACTTGTAAATAATATGATATGTTGACATAAACGTGAAAATAACCTCTTTTCTTGAAGATTATTCTAAAAATAGTTATCAAAAGTTTGATTGTATATGCAAATCCGTTTGCATCTTTCATTGTCATGAGTTGTTATGTGAACTAAAGACGAGTTCCTCTTGAAAATTATTTCAAGCAGTAAAACCTTTCTATGAGTACTGAAAATGTCCCTGAAAAAAAGGCTGGATTTGGCTCTGTTTACAAGGTACTGAATTTATATACCATATATACTTACTTATTTAAGTTATTTTCACCTTCTGCCTTCACAACATTCTTAGATTTAGTTTATGTTAGAACTTTCTTTAACCTAATCCTACACTTAAAATTCTGAAAACCAGGGGAGACCGGGTTACGGGATTTCAGATCCCACTATGAATAATGAGATGTTCTACTAGAGTATTTAAGCCAGTTAGTCCTCCTATCTCAATATCTAACTTATGTTGAAGAGTTCTCAACTTTAAGATGCCCATCCATTAGTATCGGAGTTTTTAAGTTGGCAACTCTAATCAACATAGAAGGTGAATGAAGTGGGCACAGTAAGTGCCTTCCGAGACATCAACTCTCCATAGGTGGAAATTGATGGTGATAATGTATGGGATACTTAGTTTCAATTGAAATAGTATGAAATACTTTACATGTTAGTTCTTCCAACTTGGCACTTAGGAGAGGTTTCTTCACACTACTTGGATCCCCGTAAAAAGAAAAAAATTTGCACTAACATCTCTTATATTAAGCTTTGAAAAAAATCATTAATCTTTAGGTAATTTTGCATTATTGGATCAAGCTACTGGAAGTTTTTAAGGTAAAAAAACTGCTCAAGGTAGAATCTCTCCTTTGAAAGACAGTAGCTTTGCAAAATTCAAAAAAGCAAGAGGATGTGACTATAAATATGAAAGCTTAAAGATAAGTCAGATTTATTCTAGTTTAATTGTTTCTCTTTCAACTTTCTTACTTTTGAAAGCAAAAAAAAAAATGGTGGTTGCAGGGTGTTTTATCTGATGGGAAGGAAATAGCAGTAAAGAGGCTGTCAAAAACTTCAGGGCAAGGATTAAATTTAAGAATGAAGTGATCTTGATTGCAAAATTGCAGCATCGGAACCTTGTGAGATTGTTAGCTTGCTGCATTGAGCAAAATGAAAAACTACTTGTTTATGAGTACATGCCTAATTCTAGCCTCGATTTTCACCTCTTCAGTAAGTTACACTTACCTCTTCTGAGTTTCACTGAATTTTTACAAACATCCCTATTGGGTATGGGTGGCATTTTATATTTATAAAAATCTTCCGTTCAACTTTCTCATTAATCCCATTTCATCTGAGTATCAGCAGAGTCTGCAATTCTTATAATTTTATTGCTTTCAGATATGGAGAAGCGTTCCCAGCTGGAATGGAAGCTGCGATTGAGCATCATTAACGGAATTGCAAAAGGACTTTTATATCTCCATGAAGACTCTAGACTAAGGGTTATTCATAGGGATCTAAAAGCTAGTAATATACCATTAAACCATGAAATGAATCCAAAAATTTCTGATTTTGGATTAGCAAGAGCTTTTGGAGGCGACCAAAGGCAAGCAAATACTATTAGAGTTGTGGGTACCTAGTAAGTTCAATTTAAAACGCTTTCTGTTATTGTTATAGCATTTGAAAGCCAATATTTTCATATGAACACACAACATAAAATTAACTATATTCATTGATTTATTTTTATTTTGAACAGTGGTTATATGGCTCCAGAATATGCTATGGAAGGCTTGTTTTCAATAAAATCAGATGTTTTCAGCTTTGGTGTTCTCCTACTAGAAATCATTAGTGGAAAAAAGAATGGTGGATTCTATCTTTCACAGCACCGTCAAAGCCTTCTCACATATGTATGCTTTCTGACTGCCTCTCTTCCTCAACAATATACTAAAGGGAACAAATCGAATGGAATTTTCAAGCTTTTGAACAGAAACAACACAATTCATCTTCTTAGGCCAAGATCTGATTCCAACTTTGAAAAAACAAAATATGTCTTTTCGTTTCAAGCAATTGAAATATCCTTGATGACTTCAGAAACATTGCTCCATGTGCCATAATTGTATTGAAAAATCCTGAACCGACTTCTTGAAAAACTAACTAAAACTCAGAGCATTTTTCTTATAAAATTTGCTTTTTATCTAACCTAAAAACGCATTTACCATGTAGGCATGGAGGCTTTGGTGTGAAGGGAAGGGCTTAGATCTAATGGATGCAATATTAGAAAGGTCATTTGAACCTTCTGAAGTTCTCAAGTGCATTCACATCGGCCTCTTATGTGTGCAAGAAGATGCAGCGGACAGACCAACAATGTCAAGTGTAGTACTTATGCTTGCAAGTGACTCAGTGAACCTTCTAAGGCCAACACAACCTGCATTTTCTGTTGGAAGAGGTTTCACGAAGAAAGAGCCTTCATCAAAAAATACCAGCCGTGACTCTGTCCATGGAGTAACTATATCTGAAGTTTTAGCTAGATGATCCTAAGAGTAACTATTTCTGAAGTTTTAGCTAGCTGATCCTAAGGACTAGACAAGACCTTCTTTTGGTAAGATTATGATGGCATGGATGTAGATAAGAGTGGCTATGAAAGAAATTTTATTTTATTTTTTCCCTTGTGTATGAAAGAATTATGCATAAGAAACATTATTTTAATAATTATGATGACATTGTTGAAGTTTGAATGCTGGGTATACAGCCTCGTGAAGTCTCAATGAATAAGATTGTCTATCGCTCAATGACTACATTTACCAGATCTAGAAGTGTTTCTCCTGGTATCTCTCATCTTATAGGGTACTAATGGCAGAGAGAAAGTGACAAGCGCAAATAGAGTCTTTCCAATTAGGCCAGTTAAGAATCACAACATCTAAATCCATGTCACTAAATGAGGCACTACAAAAACTTACCGTATCAAGAGCTAAGGAGACCTCCATGGGCCAAGGAAGGCAACTCGAATAAAGGCCTCAAACCAATCAATATATTAATAGCAGGTGAAGACAAGGCTTAGGTCCAAATAAAGTAGTTGTAGAGCATGCTATTTAACCCATCATGTAAATAAGAATGTTATGTTCAATACAAGTGATTTCATTAATGAAATTGTGTGCTTATAAGAACTTGTGCGTTATTTAATTAGTGGGTTTTATTTTTCTGAGATAAAATTACATATTTCATTTCATTTTAATATAGCCTGCAAGGACACTTAAGTTTCCTCATAAGATTTAGCCTATTCAAACAGTTTAAGAAGATTGCAGGCAAAAACAACTTTTGCAGAAATATAATTCTTGTGGGTCGTTTTTAGCTCTCTCTATGGTTTCTTCCTAAATTGCTTTAATTTAGCACAGACAATTCCCTTCGCAGCCTCCAAAACTTCTTTGACATTCTGGGTTCATAAGTTTCCAGTTCATAGGGTTCAGAATTCCACATCTGAATTTGATTACCGGGTTTAGGGTTCTTTATGCAATTGATTTGGTGGTTTTGACTTTGATTTACCTAAAGGTCTCTCCGGCAAAATGGTTCTTGCTGACCCAATATGTTACTTTCCCTAAATTACGTTTCTTCCACATAATTATAATTGTAACCTTCAATCAAAAGCTTTGGTAAAATAATACAGAAACATCATACAAGTGAAACAGAAGAAACATTGCTTCAATTATTCACTACAAGCTGATTGGACAAACATATCATAACCTTGAATCACACCTTTGTTTCCTTAAACTTCTAAAATCAGAGTTCAAATGTTTGGAATTGGATTGGCTAGCCAGGTGCAAGTTGTAAACTGGGTCCTAAATCAGCTTCATGGACGCTTGATTTGGCAGGAAAACAGAGTAAGTAGCCATTTCGGATTATTTCAAAACGAAATTCCAAGCCAAATAAACAAAAACAACCCGCTAATTTTGATTTGGTGGACTTTGATTTACCTAAAGGTCTCTCCGGCAAAATGGTTCTTGCTGACCCAATATGTTACTTTCCCTAAATTACGTTTCTTCCACATAATTATAATTGTAACCTTCAATCAAAAGCTTTGGTAAAATAATACAAGAAACATCATCAAGTGAAACAGAAGAAACATTGCTTCAATTATTCACTACAAGCTGATTGGACAAACATATCATAACCTTGAATCACACCTTTGTTTCCTTAAACTTCTAAAATCAGAGTTCAAATGTTTGGAATTGGATTGGCTAGCCAGGTGCAAGTTGTAAACTGGGTCCTAAATCAGCTTCATGGACGCTTGATTTGGCAGGAAAACAGAGTATAGCCATTTCGGATTATTTCAAAACGAAATTCCAAGCCAAATAAACAAAACAACCCGCTAATTTTTCCAGTACAGGACTTACAATACTGAAACTTCATTCACAAAGTGATAAGTGCTGGGAGAATCAAACACATCATCAAACTTTTTTCCAGCAGATTACAATCATTCATCAGAAAATTCTGGCAAAAAATACAAAAATGAAAAAAAAATGCATTCATGCTAGAAGACGCGAGAAAGAAGCGCTTATGAATCTGAGCAACACGAAATCACCCATTCAGAAGCAAGAGCAGTGAATTGGAGGCGAAAAGGTGAGATTACCTGCGAAGGACGAAAGAATGGATTACTGAAGAGTGAAGAGAAATAGCTGCGATTGTGATGAAGCGGAAGGAAGAACCGCGAAGAACCAGGGAGGGAGGAGGTAGGGCAGCCGGAAAGGAGCAGACGTCGACTAGTACGCAGTAGCCCTCATAAACACAAATATTTTATGTTACCTCCGCCATAAAGCTAGTTTTCCTCATATTATTAAAGAATGCATATTTATAAGAAAAAAAGGTAAATTAAAACCTTTAAATATATGAAATGGCCAAATGAATCCTAAATCAACATGACTGCGGTCAGAGATCAAATCTTAAATTATAATTATGAAATGACAGAAAAATACCAATATGTTATTTCCTTCTTCTTTTTCTCTTTTTTTTCCCCCTTTTTTTCTTTATCTTCTCCTCTTCCTTTTCATCTCCTTCCTCAATGCCTCCCCATCTCTCCCTCACTTCTCTCACTTTCTTTTCTTCCTCTGTGAAAAGATTGTTGATACAAGATGGAGTTGTTAGCTGATGTTGTCTCCAAAAATTACTGAGAATTTCAGGTTCGTTTTATTTCAAGCTATGATTGCTTATTCTTTTTCTTTAGCTTGTTTCCTTAGGAATTTGATCGAAAGGAAGTTGAACAGTGGTTTGCTCACTATCTGTTTCTAGCTGCTACCCATATGGCTAACACCAGCCAAAATTAATATAAAATTTTTTGGGAAAACTAATCCAAAACTCCTTATAGTTTTCATCAATTTTTAATTAGGTCCTTTAAGTTTTTTTCTTTTTTATCAAGTCCTTCAAGTTTGAGCCGTTATATCAGTTAGCCCTTATCACTCAAAACCGTTTAGCGGGGACTCACGGACTCTTTGCAGACGTTAGAGAGGACAGATGTATGCATGCACACAAGCATACTCAAAATATAATCCATCTTTCTGCTTCGTTGGCCTTAAGGTTGTTTGCAGTTATACATTCATCACCTTCTTCTCTATTAATCATCACCTACCCTTCCACTCTTACCTGTGAAACTGCAACTTTCATTGACAGCCTTGCTTCTGTTCAACATAAACCATCTGAACCCCACCCATGGGGAATCCTAGAAGGAAAATAATCCAGATACCAAAGAAATTATGAGGAAGAAGATGAAGAGTTCATTGACGAAAAATATTAGTTTGTCGAAGGATGTAGAGAAAAGTTTATAAAAATATTAGTTTTGTACTCAATGCATAGAGCTCGAAGAAACTGATTCCATCAATAACATGGAACTAATCCAATTCCCTTGTATTCTTCCTCCAGCAAGAGTTTGTTGATTTCAAGTTCGCAAAGTTCTTCCTTACGGACAAAACTTCGGTTTGTACAATGAGTGTGGAGGAATGGGGTTTGGCAGCCACTCATCTTTTTTTTTTTTTTTGGTGAAGATGGCAGCCACTCATCTGAAATGAAGAAGCAACTCTCATAGTATCTTTTTTTTTTTGGTAAACAAAAGTTTAGGTGAGTTGGGTCCCGGGGGCTCACCAGGGCCAGGGCATGCCTCCAGGCTCAGAGAGCGCTTACAGAGGTACTTACAGATCGCCCACCAACAAGGTCCTCACATCGGCAGTGGGATTCGAACTCACGACCTTGTAGGTTATGAGCTGACTCCTTACCAACTGGACCAACTCTTGTTAGTAACTCTCATAGTATCTTTTATTCAATCTTTGAAATGGTAGTGCGGGTGTCTTCTAACGCTGTGAAGGGTCCGTTTGTTCTCATTAAACAGTTTTAAGTGATAAGGACTAACTGATATAACGGCCCAAACTTGAAGGAGTTGATAAAAAAGAAAACAACTTAAAGGACCTAATTAAAAATTGGTAAAAATTACAAGGACCCCCAGATTAGTTTTCCCAAAATTTTTTGGACAAGACTTTGCTTATATTCAGTCATGTGTTTGCAGGTAGGTTATCTAATACAAACTATACAAGATTTTCTCTTTCTATCATTATATGTTTTTGTGCGCTGATTCTTCAATGAAATTAAAATTGATTTTGTTCATTATATCATTAATGATTTTCTAATCGCATGTTCAATTGATCACCTTTATATGATTTTGGATATGTTAAAGCTTTCTATTATGTGCTTTGAATTTTATCAAGTTTTACTTCTGGAGCACCAGTTACTATTACTGTAATCAGGGGACACAAGTTAGATGATGAACTTGTTATTTTCATATTCAGTATTGTTACTTAAAATAGTTGTTATTCCTAAAGTTGTAATTTGTCATATTTCACTTGTTATTTACAATAGTGAATTTGTTATTTTCATATCCAGCCTTGTTAATTAGAATAGTTATTATTCGTAGAGTTATAATTTGTTATACTTTACTTGTTATTTACAATAGTAAACATGTTATTTTCATATTCAGTATTGTTACTTGAAATAACTGTTATTTATAGAGTTGTGATTTGTTATACTTCACTTATTACTTAGAATAACATCCCTTCCTACTATTTGTAAGAATACTAGTTGCTTCAAATAAGCCTCTCTTTCTCAAACCATGCATATTTATTTCTCTTTTTAATATCTTCCTATTTGCATTTTTTTTTAGGTACAAAGAAGGCTTAAAACATAGAGCTAGCCTATGCTGGAAGTAGATTCTAGACAGTCATTCTCCATGAGACTTCTCAGGTTGCTCGAACAAGTATCAAAATAGGAGGAAACCAAAATTCCTTGTTTTGCTAGTTTGTCTGCAATTCCATTAGCATTCCTAGCAATATGGCAAAGCCTTACCTCCCAGTCAAACTTCAGTAACTCGGTGATCTGCATCATCAGTAAACTGCTATAACGGTTGGAGGTTTCCTGATTCAGTGAGTCAATCAGATTTCTAGCATCTGACTCCAAAATGATATGTTTAAATCCAAAATCCTAAGCCAATTTCAGACCCTTATAGATGGCCCAAGTCTCGGCTTCCACAGCATTGCATAACCCAAGTTGAAAAGAGAAACCCACTATCCAATTTCCCTGATGGTCTCTAACACTTCCTCCACATCCAACCTTTTGTGAGTTTCTTGACACCGCACCATCAACATTAACCTTAACCCAGCCTTCAGGAGGTTTTGTCCATAAATTAGTATTATCCAGATTTTGCATCCTACCACCGCCTTTCACAATTGACTTAGCAGCAGTAGAATTCTTCCAACTATAATTAATTACTGCAATTGGATTAATAGGCCTTTCAGCATCCTTGACGAAAGTTGCTGCATTCCTCCAATTCCACAGCTTCCAAACTGTAAATCCCCATATCAGATCCCAGTCTTCATTTCCATTAGCACCCATCTTATCTTTGAGGTTGATAGAAATCCAATCTCTTAAGGAGACTGAATAAAATCTGTTCACATGTTTATCATCCACAAAATTATTCCATATAGCCTTTGCATAATCACAGTCTCTAAGAACATGTAAAATACTTTCTACTTCATTAAGGCAATAAGAACACATGAGGGAACATTGAGACCATTTACTTCTCCATAAGTTCGTGGGAAGTCTTCCATGGAAAATCTTCCAGATGAAGAAGCGAATTCTTTTAGCACCTCTCCATTTCTAGATAAATTTATAAACTGGGTTATACAGAGATTTTGGATTCTCTTCAATCATATAATATGCACTCTTGAGAGTAAACATACTAGAATTTGAGGCTTTCCACACTATGCAATCCTCTCCAGCAGCGTCAAAAGGAGGCATCACTCCAATAAGTCTAGTTAGAACCTTAGGCTGAACTATATTTTCCATCTTATTAAAATTCCAAGTGCCAAACTCTACCCAGTCTATCACCATATTGTTCTCCTCTCCAACAGATAGAGGTCTTCGACAGAAATCTTTGATTTTTTTGTCATGAAACAGCCAATAATCATTGAAAAAATTAATTGACTTTCCATTCCTCAGTTGCCATTTAGAGCCGTTGTCAATCACCTCTTTCTGCTTACAGATAAACTTCCAAAGATTTGAGTCTCCTAGACCAGCTTTAAAAAGGTTTTCTTCATTATGCACCATATATTTCTGATTCAACACATCAGCCCAAAGACCCTTCTCTCCTATCATCAATCTCCAGGCTAGCTTTGCACCACAAGCTGAATTAACTGAAGCTAATTTCTTGAACCCGAGGCCACCATAGGATTTAGGCAAAGTGACATTTTGCCACCCTATAGGATGATATGCGTGTTTATCCTGATTATGTCCCCATATAAAGTCTCTTTGTAATCGTTCCACTTCCTCACAGATCTTCATTGGAATTTGAGACACTTGCATTGGATACATTGGGATTGAACTCAATACAGACTTAGCCAAAGTAATACGGCCTGCAGTAGACAAACTCTCCATTTTCCAGTTAGCTAATTTGGCTCTGACCCGATCAACTATATACTGAAATTTTTCAGTACTCCTTCTATTCTTTGATAAAGGAAAGCCAAGATACTTCCCTATTTCTGCAGA